CTCAGCTGTATAAGCAATTTTAAGAAGGCAGGGAAGGATGGCATATAATTTGGAAATATTTCCATAAGAATGGCTCGGAAATAAGAACATTCAGGGAATTAAAGAAATACATTTTAGTCACTGAAAAAATGCCTTCATGTGAAACCTTTACTGCTTCCAAATACCAGGTAAAGCTGGTTTAAACAGCAAGCAATTATTATTTGGTTACAGGAACTTTTCTTTTACAAAACAGGTAATCATTTTAATTTACTTGTAGTACCAAAAATAAATACATTGTAAGCTTATCTAAATTATTTAATCCTTAAATAGTATTTCAGATTATCTATTGGCAGTTTTGCATCTTCTCTAAGTTTAAAAATGAGGAGAGAGTTTAGTAGTAAATTATTTTAGTCATGCAATGAAATTATAACTGTGCAGATAAGGTATTAAAGAAAAACAACCAACTGCTTGCTAAACCAATATAGTTTTGATGTCTAATTCTTCCTAAATAGAATGAAAAATAGTAATATCAAAAAGAAAACTTTCATAGATATCTCAAAAATACACATATTTTATATGCAAATTCTTACTTATTTTGCATATAATCTTATATATTTGGTGACTAGTATGTTCTGTCAATATAATCGCTAATAAACTATTACAAATTCCCTTATACCTCTGGCAAAAGGAAGCAAATTTCTGCATAGCAATACCTATCCTTCCTTAGTTCTGATCTGACTGAAGTCAGAAAGAAGGCTGTCCTCTTCACACCAATCACACCTGAACTTTCTCTGAGGACTTACATCGATCTAATTACCTGGGAATCTGACAGCTCAGCAAATCAGGCAGTGATACAGATTCATGCAAAATCTTAAAACATCTTCTAGTTAAAACCATAAAATTCCTTCTAACTAGGAAGGAAACCAACTCAGTGTTTCATACACTTGTAACTTCTATTTTCTTCCATAAAGATTAGTATTATTAAATACACTTAAGTTATAATGGAAATAAAAAAATATATATATACCATATGCCACTACTTAACTACATCTGTGGGTTATCACCATGGTAACAGGAAAGTACAATCTGCTCAATTCTCTACTCTCTGATGGAAGCATTATTAATTTAAAGAATGCAATAAGCTTAAGACAGGCAGAAACAATTTCACAAGACAGTCATTAACCAGCTCATAAAAGAGGAGAAAATGAATATTTGAAAAGGCAGATTAAAAAACTGGATCAGTCTGCTGGACAATGACTGACAGTCATTTGTGGAGTAGAGGGAATGAAATGTTTTAAAAATAAGTAAACAGATGAGTGAATGAAACAACAAAATGATTATAATACAAAGAGGAAGAAAATTCAGATAGCAGAGCTACTGTGTTAATATTACCATGTGATATCTCTGTAACATGGAACTGGATAAAACCTACTATGATGTTTCTACATATATATTTAGTCTTTCCTGGAATAAAGCAAAAAACATGAATAAGACCAGGTCACTGCTTTAAAGAACACATGTTCAAGCATATACATTTATTGGGTCACTTAGCAAATATTTACTAAGTATACTTAGGTGCCAAAGAACACAAGAAAAATAAGTATTGTCCACGGCCTTCGGAGGTAATAGTACAATAGAGAAAACAATCCTCTAAATACTACATGTGAATATAATTAACAGGAACATACGTCCTGTTAAGGAGACTTTTCCCAATTATTCATAAAGAATCCATAGGTATATCTATACAAAAATCTGAGTTTAATGAAAGTTAAGTGCCAGAGGCTGACAAAATACTGTAAAAGTCACTATCTAACTGATTAGAGATAGCTTAGTGGCCATAAAGACAGATAATTAAAATGACTCCTCAGCTTAAAAACTAATTACTGCAAGTTCTTTACGTTTCTAAAATATCAGACTGACATATAAGAGAGCATAACACTGTCTTGGAAGTTTTAAGTGACACAAGCCACTGAAGTGTGAATTCTTTGACAAAAATGCCTGAGAGCATCCTTTCTCTCTTGTGGGTAAATAACAGAGAATATTAATGTGAATATTCCTCACTCTCCTGAGAGGAAGCTCACCAGTATGCCAAGGAGAAAGAAAAGAAGGAAGGCCTTCAGAGTGGTTGAAACCATCAAGAAGATCCTCCCTCCAGCCTGCCCCCATGGTCACCCTGGAATCTGGTTCTGTTTTCTTTTAATTTTTGTGCTGGGTAGGGTACATTGTAGCACTTACAACGGTTCTTACAAGTGTCAAGTATATCATGCTTGAATTCGCCCCCTTCTTTGCTCTCCTTCATCTCCACTTCCCTGATTCCTGGAACAGTTTTAATAGGCATCATTTTTTGCATTTACATACATGTGTATACATTATTTATATCACATATCTGGTTCTTACTTTGTGTTTTTAGGGCTTCCTTTCGACTGTCAGAGCCACTAATAAACCTAAGCTTCACCTTAATTCATTGGAAAACAGGTGGAGATTGCAAAATTCCCCATATAGGGTCACTCCACACCCCCCTCCAAAAAGTAAGGTATACAAAGTTCTTGAAAGAATTACTCTTAAAGCCTCAGAAAATCTCAGACCCTGCTTCTACATAGAACACTGGAAGAAAACCCATTTAGGAAAGAAAATTGAAATTTCTTTTTCTCGAGCTAGAAAGCATTACCATCTAAGTCACTTACACTACTTGAGGTATTGTATGTTTCTCAAATACTTCCCTGTCATTCCCTATTATTCGTGCATTCAATAAACATTCTTTAAATGTGCCCTGTGTCTTCACCTGACTGTAAACTTTTTCTTAAAGGGACAGATAGGAAATATTTTAGGCTTTGCAGACTAAGACACAATATTAAGGAAATTACGAGGGCAAATATACCATCACCTAAACATATACTAATTCATGTCTAAAATTATTGTTAGTTTGTAGAAAAACAGGGCCAAGATATTTATATAATCACATAAATGTATAAAATTTTATGCATAAAGTTGTTAGTTCATAGAAAAGATGGCCACAAAACCAATAGTAATAACATGTACTACTTTATTTTTTCCATGGGTTGGGAAGGTATTATTCCTCATTTTTCAGATAAGGAAATGAGGCTCAGATTAGATATGTAACCTGGCTATACTAGTAGGTTGTAGGTCCAGGACTGAACAATATGTATGTCTTCTACAAGCATTCTCACCAACATCCCACATGTTGCTTTCCCACTCATATCCAGAGAAAAGAAATGATTTCTACTAACTCAAATTGTGGAATATATTCTGGAACATGTCATGTAAAATCATTAATTTTAATTGAGGTTAGTAATAAAATAGTAAGAGTTGAGTTTCAGGGACCTGACAACTCTAGGTTTTAAAATCCTTGATCTCATTTGATCATCACAACACTGGAGAAAACACTATAATTTACTGTCCCATTTTATGAAGAAAGAACAGAGAGAGAGAGATCAGTGATTTGCTTGAGAGCACAGCACTGCTCTATAATAGAGCTGCAACTTTATTCCAAATCCTCCTCAAGTTAGAACTCTAGTTGTTTTGGGACTCCATTCTCAATTCTGTTTCATTTTGAGATGCTTTTCTTCTTGTTCATTTCTCAGGGTTGCTGAGGAACAACAAATGTCTGTCTTCTGTCTTTTGGTTCTAAAAAGCACACAATTCAAAACTAAAAACTAAATATAATTGATAGCATTAAAGGACGAAATATATGTGTTAAATTGTGAAACTTATGAAAACCTAATGATGTGAAGAAAAAAAATCATCCCAGCCCAAAAGCAAAATGTGAGTGTAAGCACATTGGTCAAGCCACCATATCTTCACATATAAAATTTTTTTCATGTAAAAAAGCTAAAGGAATGACTTTGGTCAGCATGGAAAACTGAACAGAGAAAATGCAGGACTGTGCCATGAGACAACATTTGACGCAGTCTTGAAGCCACCCTAAAAATGCCTTGTTTGGTCTCTGCACCAAGTATTTTTCTATCACAGAGACAGATGTCTACAGCGATTAATCTAATGTCATTATACATTACTGTTGCTCTACTAGTTTTCATGTTACCTACCATACCCTAATGGGTTGCAATGGAAGCTCTTTAGGGCTATGTTGAAAGGCTTTGTAGGCTATGGCTGACTCAGTGAGGATGAATGTCTTGACTGGTTAGTCATGTCTGCATGAGTCAGGTAAAGAAGGCTGCCCATATCTCCAGACACCTGCACAACAATTGCTCCCTTCTCTCTGATTTTTTTCAGCACAAAATTTCTGAATGCAATCTGTATTTTATGTGTATTTCTATACAGAGAGCAGCCTGATATCCAGGAGTCCAGAAACCACTATATTTCTGATTTGTAAGTTATTTAATTGATATTCTGATTCACTGAATAGTCTTCTGTGAACTTGATTATATAAACTCCAGTGGGGTAACATCCATTCTCAGTAAACTGCTATGGTCAGTTTTCTGAATTAATAATGTTGATGAACAAACCTCAGACTATGGTAAATTCAAAGAGATAAACCTTAAGTGACCTGATCTGTTAGAAACAACAATGGAGGATGGCATTCTTGTTAAGAAAATAATTCTATCAGATACCTATTTTAGACTTAACAAAAATATTTTTAACTAGCTTCAGTTTTACCACTTCCAAATTTAATTTCCTTTCTTAAATTTTTCTTTGGACTGGAGGCATGTCTCAAGTGGTACACTGCCTCCTTATTAGGCACAAGGTCTTCAGTTTAAAGCCTCAGTACCTCAATTTTCCTTTCTCTTCACAGATGTTTTAAGCCACTCCAAGGTGTTTAACTCTACACCTGCACCACCCCTTTTTGTGACATTTAAAGCCAGTGTGAGTGCCATGAGTAGAAGAGCCTATGACTTTATGGACTTGTCAACATTATTTACATTTTCATCATACTTTTGAACACAGAATTCTTCTTTCCTGAGCTCAAAGACAGTCTTAATTTGTGACAACACTTTTTCATGTCCTCACACCACCCTAACTGATTGCATGTTTTCTTTTTTTACCTTTCGAACACTTGCCAGCCGGTTCATCATCAAGGACTCCTCTCTATCATCATCATCATCCAAGTCAAGCACTGGCATGCTGAAGGGGTCGATGATGCTGCAGCACCTGGAGCCTTCGTCTCTAGGATCAAAGGGGTCCACGATGATGGGCTCGGTTCCTTTTATCTCGCAACGGCAGAAAGGGCAGCCCTGGCCATCTGACTCCTAAACAAACAGAAAATGCACATTGAACCTTGTTCATGACAAACAGTCCAGAGAAGTGTCAATGTTCTACATCTATAAAAATAAGTTATAAAAAAGTGGCTTGAGGGTAGGAAGTAGGGGAAGATATGTCTTCAAGAGGTAGGGGAAATAAAACAGGGAGTCAAGAAAATATGGCTGTGGTTTTAATTACAGGGAAGCAAAGATCAGAAGGATCACGATTCACAAGACCCCATCTTAACCAATGGCTGGGTACAACTGTGCATGCCTGTCAGTCCAGGCCAGCCCAGGAATAAACCGAGACTCTATCTAAAAAATCACACATACAAAGGGCTGTCAGAATGCCTTGAGGGGTACTGTACCTGGCTAGCAAACACAAGTCTTGAGTTCAACACCCAGTTGAATGTTTCAAATTGACCAAAAAAGAAAAGAAAAATTTCTTAAAATTTTAGATTGCCAAAGATAGGAGCCCACCCCTTCATTTCACGGAATGTTCATTTATGTATCTAATACAAAGCTTGAGTCCTTTAGAATACTGAAAATTGAATCACATACCTCTTTATAAAAAGACAATAGTGCTAATTAACCATTCTATTAAAAGGAACATTTTGGTAAAAATTCACGATAAATAAAGCAGTTGTACCAATAAAAATAATTCATTCCATTTCAAAGTCAATTTTGGAAAAATTCTTATGCATACTAATTGTGGCTAAGTATTTCTGTTTAAATAACCTAGGTTTTTAAAAATATTGTATATTAAGGAATTAGTGGGGAAAATAATTTTATATTCACAAGCAATCGATTTTCTGAATGTCTGTTACAGTTTGGAACTTAAATGTCCCCCCAAAGCCCATATGGTAAAGACTAGGTGGCCAGCCAGTGGAGGAGCCTTTAGGAGGTGGGGCCTAGCAGAAGGAAGGACACCCACAGGATGCCCTTGGAAGGTTCTGGGACCCAGCCACTTCCCTGTCTCACTTTGCTTCCAGGAACTTGAAGTGAAAAGGTTTGCTCCATGAGTTCTTCCTGGCCATTGGGCCAAAGTTATGTACACAAGCAACCATGTACTGATACCTCTGCGACTGCCAGGGAACATAAGCCTCTCCTTCTTCACATTCTATCTCAGTGACGCGGTCTCAGCAATGCCAAGCCTGTCACCTCAACATAGTTCATTTGGAAAATAACACTCTGTGACATGGTAAGCTTTGTCACTAATCTGACTCTCAAATTAGACAGTACAAAAAGTTGTGCTCAAAACATTTAGACATTTATTCATCGGTCACTGTTAGAGGTTTTGTTCCAAGTCTCCCAAAGCATTTCTCTAAACTAACTGCATTACAATTCACAATTAGCAATGAATAGGATAAGATCTTATCTCACCCTGCCTTCTAGACAGAGATGGTATATAATATTTACCTCCCTGGTGTTTCTGCATTATGCTATGAATTTAGTACTGTATTTTAAAAAGGTCATAATCATAAAAGTATTTTAAGAGAGAAACAGCATAAATTGACATCATTTTAGGTATCAGACAAGGATGCAGAAAGAGCTAATATCTTAAAAGAAACCATCCCATACTTGATCCAAGTGCAGTGGTTCACAACTGTAATCTCAGATACTTGATATGCAGAGATAGGAGGGTTTCAGTTTGAGGCTAGCCCAGGAAAAATGTTAGGAGACCTTATCTCAAAGAACAAGATGAGTGTGGTGGTAGACTCTATAATCCCAGCTACCCAGAAGGCAGAAGCAGGAAGTTAGCAGGTCAAGGGTGGCTTTCATAAAAAGCAGGAGATCCTATTGAAAAAAATTAAAAAGCAAAAACTGCTGGTGGCATGGTTCAAGTGGTAGAGCAGTTACCTAACAAGCATAAAGCACTGAGTTTGAACCCTACTACTACCAAAAAAAAAGGGAGAGAGAGAGAGAGAAATCATCCCATCCATTCTCTCATTAGACAATAACCATACAACTATTTTGTAGCAGGTAGGTGGTTTCTTTTAACTTCTCTTGGATTAATAAGTATCACCTTTGACAAATAAATTGTCAAAAAGAGAAAAAAATTCTTTGGTTCGCTTAATGAAAAATAATCACATCTTATTCATTTGCTGTCACATAGCCTGACCAAAATAACTTAGAATGGTAAAAGTGAACTAAAGTTGTGTGAAAAACCTAGGAATGTTTTGATGTCTATACCACATATGTTCAGGCATACTGGGCTCCAAAGCTTCTTCAAATCTATGTGATCCATAATTTTGTAGGTGATAAAACTAAGACAATTCTATTTTGGGTAACCTCATCTCATTGACATTTTTTAATGTAAGGGGAAATATGTAAAGAAATCTAAACCATACCCTTACCTTTTGCTAAGAAGAGTATTAAATTTAAGAAAACACCCAATATATGTTTAATCTAGGCAAAATCTCCCCATTCTAAAAGCCAAAAAGGATCCCTATTATGTACCAGTAGTGGAACTTTTGAACATATGTACATGACATAAGCAATCTCAAGAATCTAGTTGTTTTTATGTGTGTAAGTTATGAAAGAACTAATGTTCTGTGCTTATCACAAGAATGGAAAGCAGTATTCTGAGCCCTAAATGGACATTTCATTAATTAATACATTTAAAATTACTTTAGAAATTTTAAAAAATGCATGACATTAGTGACAAAAGTGTAATGAATTTGTACATACTCACCACCCAATAATACCCAATAATCAATCCTAGGCTCAATCTAGTTTCTCTGTACCTTTGCTTGCTCCCTCCACTTACAAATAACATGAATTCATCCATAAATATTTTAGTATGTGTAACTAAATGCAGCAAATCTTTTAAAGATGCAACTCTGAGTCAACTATCATAACTAAAATTATTTTACTCACTCTAAAAAATTAAATATTATTTATGAGTGAAGTGTCTAAAATGTGCTATCTCCTCTATTAGGCAACAAAGATTTTTCTTAGAATATTCAATGTCAATTTACATGTTGCTTTGGTTAAGGATGAGTTCCAGTTTATGCAATGTATTTCCTCATAAGGGTAACTTAAAAAACTTAGATTTGAAGGAGAGTAAGTAGGTGAAAGGCATAAACAGCATCCTGACGATACAAGAAATAGCTCATCTAAAACTGAATTTAAGTTTTTCTCTAACTTTCCTACCTCAAGGTTTAATGTAACACAAATCGCTGACAAGTGTTTAGTAGCTGTTGTAAGATTAAGTATCACAAAAGATTTTTTCCAATTGGTTTTACCCACTGTTGAGAGTTTACATTACACACAGATCAATAAAACAGCTGCAATGAATATCCACGTTGATTTATTAATAGATCACACTGCCTGTGTCTCCTTAGTGGTACTTATTTTAAGATGACTTCACCATTACTCTTTCTTTATAAACTGACTACTGTCATATGCAAATTAGGCTTAACCATAAATCCTCAAATGCCAGTTTGGTTACTCTGTCCTCTTTCTGCCATATGGTTGATTGAGTACACATGAAGAAGGTCTTTAATAGACATATAAACTCATCAGGATTGTGCCTCAATAATTAAAATAATGTTTTTGTCAACATATACTTAATTCAAGATCAAAGAGCATATGATAATGAAGAAAGACCAATAAATAACTCAATTTCGTCCTCACCATATTCACATCTTGTGAATGTTAAGAGGAAGTACTTAAGATCCCATCTATTTTAATTGACTCAGTAGCTTTCACTTCCTCAAATAATATTTCCAAATTAAAGACTACAGATGTTATCAGTGAATACCATATAACTCAGAAACTTAGATATAGAATACACTCATGATAAAGTAATTCAGATTCACAATCCAAACATTAACAATATAAATTAATGATGTTACATTTAACTCTAATATTAGGTAAATTCAAAATATATTAACAATAACAGAAAAATGGAAAAAAATTTAGACATTCTACCTTCAGGTTTGCCTACTCCACAAACACTGTATGAAAAATTTCAACTAAATATTGTCAATACCATCTCAACATCACTGTGAGAGTCAATTAAATTGGGTCTTTTTCTGTCAAAGGTAGCTCAACTGGTAGAACATGAGATTCTTAATCTCACGTTCGTGTGTTCAAGCTCCCCCTACCCCCCCACCACACTATGGAGTATGTCCATCATTGTGTAGATTTTAGCTAATTTCCCCAGCTGCCTATGTGCTCTGTGGCACTTTGCTTAACTCTGTAAAGTTTCTGCCTTTAAGCAGAGAATTGTTTGTCATCAGATGTCCTAAAACTTAAACTGCTAGTTTTAAGACAATCATTGTCCATAGGAATCTCTCCTTTAAGGTCCCCTTGACCCATGAGTTATTTATATACTTGGTGCTGCCATTTCAGGTCAAACAGTCATTTCAGTCCTCAGTTTCCCCAGAATCCTAGAATTCCCACCTCATGGGTCACCCCTTTGTCTTTGGGTACACAATAAAATTAAGTCTCGTGTCCATGCTCTCCAATCTTATCTGCTCTTCCCTTATGCCCTCCCCTAAACCTCAAACTTAGTCAATCACGAAGACTGTGAACCCAAGCTCCCTTTGTTAGAGCAAGGGGAAGTCTTGCACTGGGGATAAAAACTGAGGTGGCCCTTATACCTAGTGTTCTTGCTTGCCTGACTCTAGTCAGAGTGTGGCACACCATTCTGCAGAAGTAAGTTTTGCCTTGCCCATCAGCTTTCGAGCTCCTGTCTGATCTGTGATAGCGGCAGTGCCCTGATTATTTCTAACAATCACTATTATCATACAACACTCTCTTTCCATATTCTGTTTAAATATTGTTCAGACAGATGCACTGTACCTTAAATACTTTCCTTGAAATATCTGAAGATAAATATTACATGCAGTATGATTTATTTGCTTTCAGAATGATAAAGAAGACTGACATGTCTTCTCATACACACAACGTACAGGAAGAGCCCTAAGGAAACCATGCAGCTCATGAGTCTCATTTAGAGCACATTTTATAATTTTCCTGCATGTGTATGTACATACATG